CCTCACTAACCCCTCTGCCTGCCTGGTCACCCCACACAGCCTGCTGTTCAGTCATTTGGTCGTCCCTCACTAACCCCCTTGCCAGCCTGGTCATAGGCAGCCATCTTGTGAGGGCATGATGGTCAATTTGCATATTACCTCTTTATTATATAGGACTAGAGGCCCAGTGCACGAAAATTTGTGCACTCGAGGGGTTTCCTCAGCCGGGCCTATGCCCTCTCGCAGTCCGGGACCCCTCAGGGGATGTCCACCTGCTGGCTTAGGCCCGCTCTGTGGGGGACTGGGCCTAATAAGCTGGCAGTCAGACATCTCTCTGCAGCTCAGGTGCCCTTGGGGGGATGTCCACCTGCCAGCTTAAGCCCACTCCCCAGGGGGTTGGGCCTAAGCTGGCAGTGGGACATCCCTCTGGCAGCAGGGAGCAGGCCTAACACACAGTTGAATATCCTTAGCGCTGCCAAGGAGGTGGGAGAGGCTCCTGCCACCACCGCTGAGCTCGCAGCCATCAGCCCAGCTTGTGACTGAGCAGAGCTCCCCGTGGAAGTGCACTGACCACTAGGGGTCAGCTTCTGCATTGAGCATCAGCCCCCTGGTGGCCAGTGTGCATCATAACAACGGGTCGTTCCTGGTCATTCCGCCATTAGGGTCGATTTGCATATTACCCTTTTATTATATAGGCTATTTAATGAATGTCACATCTGATCAGAGAACAAAAAATATTTTATGTAGTTAAGCACGGTCTTAGCAATAACTCAAATGTGACTACTTTTGTCCAGGGGTGAAAAAATATATATATTTGAGTCATTGAAAATGATTCATGATAGAGAAACCATAAAATTAGTTACTCTGCCCTTTGAATTCAAAAGTTTAAAAATAGGTAACAATTGATTAAGAAATTACTTTTCTATGGTAACAAGGAGGATTCATATCAACCTCAGAATAGAGTTGGCCTCAAGGAAAGGAGAGGGAGGAATGGGATTAGAAAAAGATAAAAAGGAGGCATTAACTCTTTAATGCTTTATTTCTCAAAAAAAGTAAAGAGCATATAAGTATACATGGCTAAATGTTTTTATTTATTGAATCTGGCCAGTGAGTAGTTCATGGATGTTTGTATTTTTTTTAATGCACTTCTATACATGTTTGAGATATGCCCAGATTTTCTAAACACATAAAACAAAGGATACAGCTGGGTAGAGAAAGAAATGATGTGTAATCATTCTGTTCCAGAACCTTAGGACATACATCACAGAAAACCTAAGACTTATATGTCCATAATATGACATGAAGGAAAAAGAGCTTACTGTGGCCCAGAGTTAATGTTGCTTGAACACAAAAATTAAGAAGTAATGCTGCGGGGGAGAAACTAAGATGGCCGCATAGATAAACACCAGGAAATTGCTGCCTCCCACAACAATTGAAAAATACATCAAAAACACAAAACGGACATCATCCACAACTACAGGAAGGCTGGCTGAGTGTAAATTCTACAACTAGAAGGAAAGAGAAAAGCACACTGAGACTCAGAGGAGGTGTGGAAGTGCAGAGGTATGGAGGCACACATGGCAAGGGCTGGCAACTGAGGATGCGGCTCTCTTTTTGAATCGGGCGGGAGTCACATGCCCCCGACTGCTCTGAACTCCAGTTCTGGGTGCGTC